CAACACCTATGGACACAGGGAATATTTTCTTTATCTCACACAGCCTTAAGAAGCATACTCAAAATACTTAAATCGAATCCAATACGATTAATATTTGCTCAATTTTTGTCGCTTGGTTTCATTTATTGTTTGTAAATTCGAAATAATGACGTTCCATAAATTATGGATATGAAACCACTATGACAAATTGTCATTGACAATTACTATATAGTGGTAATACTATATAGTGGTACGAACCAAGTCATTCCACTGCAACCACACAATTAGAAAATTGACCACAGAATTGATCAATCGTCTTGTTGACGAATGCTAATGATCGGATAATTTTTCGTTTGACTTATACTTGGCGCACTGACTCATTTTCTTCTTTAAATTTGGCTACCGTAAAAATTATTTAACTGAGAAAAAAAAATGAATATTCTGTGATATATGTATAACCACAAGCTGATTCAATTTGACATTGATTGATTAGAAACTTGGAAAAAAAAGAAAAACAGTAAAGTATTGTGATCGATTGAAGTAAACGAAAACGAGAAAAGTGTGTGCATTCTTGAGACATAAAAACCAGCATCATGAAAAGCTTTGGCTGAATCGGAATGGGCTATGTTAACGAGAAGAATTGGTGCTATGAATGCAATCCGAATATTTGTCGTTTATTTGAAATTCATTTGCTGTTCACCAAATTTGTGTTAGCCTTAATGCTATTGACGCGTCAAAAGATAACGCACGATCGGCATAAATTTTAAATGAACGAAATGGCAAAAATCCATTTAAAAAAAAAAGTCAAATCACACGAATCGTCCGCACAAATGTTAAGAGACGGGATAAGGGAGCTGGTGTATGAACGAGTCGCTTTACGCGTTGAATACATCTCCATATTATGTTGTGTATTATGCCAATGATGTGCCGAAATGAACAAGTAAGACAAAAAAAAATGCAGCAACAGCCACAGAACAACGAGGCACGACAATCTGCACATCTTCGTTCATTTATTGTGATTTTGAATTTCGACTGTGTCTTTTTTTCGCCTCTCTGCTTTTGCCTCAACTCAACCAAGAAAAGTCAATACAATAATATACAATTTTAAGCGCATTGTACTTTAGCATGAGCGCTCTAGTGCAATCAAAAAATGTGACGAGCAAGAACGAAAAAAAGCATCATCATCATCATCGGCAGCAGCAGCAGCAGCAACTACAACAGCATCCGAAGCAGCACAATCTTAAACGGTCAACAACGGTGAAATAAGAGACACAGAGGAAAGGCAGAAAAACGACACGAAAGGATAGCAAATTAGTTTGCTTGTTGTGCTTGTTCGTTCATTGTTCACTTGGTCTCGTTGAGCAGTGGCATGTGAGATGTCTTCGGTGCATATTCAACTTGGGTGGTCCAGCATGTTCCACATTAAGCAAAAAAAATAAATAAAAATAAAACGAGAGCCGTGTACACATTTATAAGCACATAGCATTTCGAGAGTAATTTTCAACTATGGTCACACGGTGAATTGAATGCATCTCTCGCGCACAGCAAGCGTGCTACTCAGCGCGATCTCTCTCATGCGCTCGAGCGCGCGCACACACATACTCAATTTTACAACCTGGACACAATGTTTTGGTTGGATATATGTGTGCACGACGTGCGCGTGCGCGCTAACTCGCTCGCGCAAATCGTAAACGTTTTACTTATTGCATTCAATGTCGAAACTGAAAGCGATCGAACTGGCAAGAGATGCACACAGACGACGAAAGGTGAATAGAATCAAAAAGCGGCGAATTCAATTTTTACTTTTCAGTGGAATGCTTTGCGCGCGCACATGAAAATCAAATAAATACGTTCGATAAAAAAATTAAATCGAATAAAATCCAAATATATGGCAAATGTAGTGCGCACGACACACAATAACATACAACATGGAATATTAAATAAAATTTAGTATGAATAAGAATGTTTAAGAGATCGCTGAATCGCGAATGAATTCCATCCATTTCCATGCATTTGCACACTGTACGAATGTTTTTCTTATTGCGTTTTTGGCATTTCAAAACATTCCATATAGTAAACATATTTTATTTTCGTTGCATTTGTTTGCTTGTTTTCGTTGTTGGTTTTTCCACGTCCATAGAATTTTCCACGAATTTGGCTTAATTTTGTTCTGTTTTTTTTTTTTGGTTTCGGTCAAACATTTTTATTGCACTATCTAATGAACTCATAGAGTAAAGCAAACTGGCCAGCTAATCGCCTTTACCCTAACTAATTGCTGGCCAATACATGATCGATGTCGTATCGACGGCAATGATTCCATGTAATCGCCTGTCTCACAGATAATATCGATTGCATTTTACTGGAACAAAAATTATTCTCGTTGAACGATTTCATTTTTCATTGTTAGCTATTGAAAACGTGATTCTGAACACGTTGCGCTTAAAAATTTATTTCTTCTCCTATGTGCGACCGAAAGCAATGTATCTTTCATGTATCTTTCATTCTCTTGCTCTCTCCTTGTTTTGATTTTGCCTATCGTTCGAGCGGGAGAGCAAGAGATAACAAGTTAAAAAAAAAGTTATGTCAATGCGTTTAATCATGTACTGACATTGAGGAAGTTAAAGAGTCTGAGAACGAAGCAATTACCATTTTCAAAGTGAATGCAAAACCGTTAAAAAGTCATGTAATCATATGTTGTAAACGATCCAAGGTACGCATTAAATTCCGACACATTTAATTATATCATTAAAATTTAAATGTATAATTTTTTTTTATTTTATCCTCGTTGTTGCGTATATTAATACGTTTTGTGTTGGCCTGTTTTTTCTTCTCTCTCTCGTCTGCAAGAACATTCGTTCGTCCGGATGCGATGCTTACAACCGAATAAATGATTTAAATGTCAAAAAAAATTATGAACGATGATGGTATAGCGGATTAGCGCACCAATTGTCCAATATATGGAAAGTATGGTCAACATTCCAACGCAATGAAGTCATGAATTCATCGGTATAGTGCTGTGATGAATTTGGTACAGTGCAAATTCATTGAAAGGTATGTTGTATATAAAAAAAAAATTAAGTTGAAAAGAAAGAAAATCTCTGATCTTGTTGTTGGTTGTGTTTCATGTTTTCGCATTCAGACTGAGTTAAGCCTGAATGGTACAGCGAAAGCGGCGGCGGCAGATGGTAATCAATTAGCATTTACCAAGATCGCGACTTGGCGCTGTATAGACGCAGGAAAAAGAAGCTGGCGGCAAATATTTTGCAAAATGAATCATATTCCTGGGCTGACCATTCTTTTACGGCTATGCATTTGTGGCACTTTATTGACACTAAAATTCCGCGAGCAAAATTCATTATTTGAGTCCTAGAGAGAGAAATCGAAACAAGCACTATTTGGAAGCAAATCATTGAAATAAAAGAAGAGAACGAAAAATGATTGAAACGTTAACTCATTGATTCGTTCCGATGAGTGAAAAATGGTAGAGGTGCTGCTCGTCGAAATGATCTATCGACAAATCGTCTGATGGGCAATTCTCAGATTAGCATTTACCGTAGAGCATTACGACGATGTGCTGATTTCATGACTACTTTACATTAAATAAATGTGATTGCAAGCTTTAAAGCGCCTGCCAACGAATTAAGTACACACATAACATTATATTATGATATTATTAGTATCAGCTGATGAGAAATTCTCCATTTCGTCTAGTCACTCTACGTATTCGCGTAATTTAGATACCGAAACTGACACTTTTGCAATCGATAAAAAAATGCCATAAATGTCATGCATCACTATTTATCACCTTCGAACATTATGGATAGTTGTGTTGTATTTAGAATATTCGAAAAAAAAACGAATTCAATTTGACTCTCTATCCACATTATTCATTTCATATTCGAAAATACTTTTAGTAACAATGTTTAAAAAAGTAATTTTGTTGATTGTTTTAATCACCATTCCGCATTCTTTAAAAACGTCTTCATTGGCATCATCAATTTCGTGTCTGCGAATCACTTCGTCATTATTAAGTTTCATTTCAGTAATAATATTAATAGAATTACTAATCATACTCACTTTTTTTATTCATCGTTCTCTTTAATTGCCACCAATTTGACGAGCGTTTTATGTGTCATTGCGTGAATGCTGTGAATACTTATTGAGTTGGGGAGCATGCGGAGAGAGATAGAGAGAGAGACAAATGTGAAGAAGCAAGCATGCGAAAATAAATAAATATGTATAAAGATTGTACTGGCGTGTGATTAACAATAAAATAAGAGGAGAGATGCCGATCAACGTGTGTGGTCTTCTTTCGTTTGCCATTTCATCGTAATTCTACATTTCATCCAACGCAAGTACTTGTATATTATTTTTAGAGCACCCAAATTCGCCCATACACCGGCCACTACACAATGACCGAAACGGCATTATGCTCAACTCCATTCTGCAATTGAGCACGTTTCATCATTCAATTCGGATCAATTACAAATTGAAGTGAGAGTCGCCGGGGTTCTAAAGATATTATATTCATCGTTAATTCATGCATAGTTTGTAATTCAGTCTTTTTTCTTAAGTAAAAAAAATGCCAATTGGTTGAAATTGAGAATGGATGAACAGTAGCAATGATAAGGTCATAGCAAAAATATTTCAATTTAAATTTGATGTAAATTCACTGATTTTCTATGTAGAACATTGTATCAAACCTAGATAGGACCTATTTGAATGATCAATATGAATTGTTGGCAAATCGCATTTAAAACGTGTGAACAGCTCGATGACGAAATGAAGTCAACGGCTTTCTGCGACGTAACTACTTTTGAAAATAGATTTATTACATTTGTATCGTAAACAGATGTTTTTGTTTGTATCTGAAAATATCGAATGTCGTCAAAAAAAATACGTCAATTCGATTGCGTTACATGATAAAATAGTCGGTTTAATTTCATTATAAATATAAATTAAAAAGGTGTACGATCATTGAAATCAGTAAGTAGTAATCGTTTGTAAGAAGAACTGTAACAATGGCGACAATACCTCTGTTCGTCCAATCGATAATCGTTCAATTAACTAATGGAAGACAAGTGACGCCCGCCAATTCAGCTATAATGGCATTAGCCACAATTGCTGTAACATTTCAATTCATTGGGCAAAATGACGTTACTTATGATGACTACCTAGATAATCCAGTTTTTTTACTTTTTAAGCGTAAGTGTCATAGATTCATGTTAAAGTGAAAAAAAATTGTTGATTAAAAATATTGTGAAACTTAGCAAGACTTGAATTTGATTTCATCATTGTTGGGACTGGATCGGGAGGCAGTGCAATGGCTGGACGGTTATGTGAAGTGAATAACTGGCAGGTGCTATCGATCGAAGCAGGCGATAACCCAATTCTTAACACTGAAGTAATTATCAATAATTTTGTTTGGAAAAAAGTTTCAATTATTAAAAGTGAACACTTCTAGAATAACTATTTCATCTTCATATTGCACTCATTACTCTTTTTTTTTGTCAAAACTTTAAGGTACCGAAATTTTTTACTCATGCATGGCGATCACCAAACGACTGGAACTATACTAGTATTGAAAAGAGAGCATGTCTATCTCAGTTTGGTGTGTGCTATCTCCCGCGTGGGTGCATGGTCGGTGGTTGTGCATCAATAAATGTAATGTTCTTTGTTCGTGGAGCCTATGCTGAATACGATTTATGGGAGACTAAATTTAACTGTACTGGTTGGGGTTTCAAAGGTGTTTTACCGTATTTCAAGAAGTTTGAAGGCAATCGACACAACTGGGGTAATGATTATCACAATCAAACAGGGAAAGTGTGCATTGATTTCTACGAAAAAGCACCATATATTAATTTCTTTGCAAAAGCAGGCGCTGAAATGGGCTATCCAACTATATCTGATATTAATGGTCCCGAAAATCCATATACTAATCCTGCTTATTGCGAGATCCAGGGAACAGTATGCAATGGCCGTCGTTCTGGCACCAATAAAGCATATATAATTCCACTTAAGAGAAAGTCAAATTTTAAACTGATCAAAAATGCGATCGTCACGAAAATATTATTCAATGGAAACCGGGCGATTGGTGTCGAATTCGTTAGATATGGCATAACGTATAAAGCATATGCCAGAAAAGAAGTGATTGTATCTGCTGGAGCTTACGGATCGCCAATTTTGTTGCAGCTAAGTGGAATTGGTGATCCGGCTATATTGAAGAAAAACCAAATCCCGGTAGTAGCTTCATCGCCACAAGTGGGAAAGAATATGGCTGATCATGTCTGTGTTTATATGTGGTATTCATTTCCATTAATTCAAGATTATATGTCTGTGCCGGAAGTGGGCCGAAATATTACACTTTATTACAGGAATCCAAGAGCGGGCTATTTTGCTCAGATAAGCACTTTGCCAACGATTGGATTTTTGAATACCACAGTGGGTGGTCTTGCTCATATTGAATGCTTTCACTATTTGTTTTTTAAGAATTCTGTGGAGCTTCCGGAGTTTCTAAGAACAATGTTTTATAAAGATGCTGTAAACAAAGCAATTTTGGCCGCAAATAACATTGGCGCTGTGGCATTGGTGATGCCGTCGCTTTTGAATCCACTTTCACGAGGTCATTGTTTACTTAATGGAACCAAAGGAGTTGAAGCCTTCAAGGAATTACCCATATTTATGAACTATTACTCAGATTCTAAGGATGAAGATAGAAACATCATGATAAAAGCCGTAAAAGATCAAAGGGCACGAGAGAAAACAGAAACTTATCAGAGTGTTAACGCATCTCTGATAAGAATGCCCGATTGTTTCAATTTTGATTTAGATTCAGATGAATTTTACAATTGTTTTATTGATCAATTCAGCGCAAGCATATGGCATCCAGCCGGTACATGTCAAATGGGCCCAGATCCGGCGACAGCAGTAGTTGGCACCGATTGCAAAGTGCACGGTGTTGCAAATGTGAGAGTGGTAGATGTATCCATGTAAGATATTATACTTTTATGCTGTTTAATAGAATGTTAATTTCGTATTTTGTAACTTGCAGAACGCCGAAATTGCCTTGGGGTAACACAAACTCACCGGGCATAATGATTGGAGAAAAGTGCGCTGACCTTTTGAAGAAATCTTATGGCGTAACTATTGGTGTTACATCGTAATCGTTAAAAGGGGATAAGCTTAATTTTTTTGCGATAGAAAAATCAATTTGCATATATATATATTAGTTGAGAGAAACTTTTTCTGCTTTTTAAATGATCTAAATATTGAATGGATAAACGAACATATTTTTTAACTGGCTGATTTCGATATTGATACTATTTTCGTTGAAGAATGACTTATTTTGAAATGCACGGCAGATAAAAGATGCATAAACATCTGATGAGATCTATTAACTATTAAGTAAAGAATGTAAAAATTACGTCTCGCTTTGAATATATCTACTAAAGTGCGTCATCCAGATATAGATAATAACAAACATATCAAAGGCATGCAGCCGATGTCAATGAACCAATGAATGTATAAAAAGAATGTTGAGAGTATATTCAGAATAGTCAAAGAATGTTGAGAGTTTTTATTGTTTTTATTTATATTTGCGGCCACTGAAAGCATATTCATTGTCTTCCTGGTAATCTTTTAGCAGCAATGAATGTGTATTGAATAAGCATTTATATACAGTTCTATAAATCCAAGAAGTAAAAAAGGTCGCCTCTTAAGGTGATGTAATAATAAAAAAATATGGACGAAATATTCAAAAAGAAGCACGTGCCACTGAAAAATGTTGTTATTGAATTCTTATTTTAAGCAATATTTTCACCTTTTAAAACTTCGTATGACGTCTTAAGTTATACCGAATAACAACTGAACAAAATTCAGGCCAGGACACTTAGTTAAAAACAATATCTGGCAAAATATAAAGAAAAGTTCGTTTCGTCAATTCGAAAGTTCGTTTTGAGGCAATCTTATAAGAATCATACAACGGAAAAAGTGCAATAATATCCAAAATCGATTTAAACGCGTCAAAAAATAAAATGATCAATAAAAAAGTTGACATTCAGAGGCTGTTTCTCACAGTAATATATGTAAGGAGGAGAGCTCTGAGAAGCCGGAGGAGCACTGAGGAGCAAGTATGAAAGATGCTCCTTCGGCTCCTTAGAGCGCTCCCTCCACATACTATATATTGCTCTGTGGAACAGTCTCTGCATTTGTTGCGAGAACGACATAACTTTATGGAAATCAGTAATTCAGTGGTTTGGTATAAAGAAATTTGTAAATTTTTTCTTGATATTTCTCTGTCTAAGTAAGTGTTATGCATTAAGCTATGCACTTACTTTCCATTTGAGTCATTTGAACTGGATTACTGTCTGCACGCATACTTATTGTTAATGTTTGATTCTAAGTATGCGCATCTCTGCAATTGAATGGTTAATGCGGTGCGAATACATCTTCGATTTACTGCAAGTGGTTTATTCTCTTGTTCCATTCGACATAAAAACGATTAATGACAATTGAATCGTTGCGGCGAAACAGCAGCTCTTATTTTTCTCCAAATAATACTGCAACATGAAGTTTTTTTCACGCGGTTTATTTGTTGTAATACAACAAATAAACTATTCATAAAAAACTTTATGTTGCAGTATTATTTGGAGAAAAATAAGAGCTACTCTTTCGCCGCAACGATTCAATTGTACATTAACAAAATCTGGTCTGTGTCTTGCTTCACAATGTACACGACAATATATTTTGTATGCATATAAGCGCGCACACAGTCGATTAATGAAAATGATTTTACCATTTAATTTCTGGTTGAGAACATTACGTTTGACTTGGAATTGATCGCTTTGTTTTGAGAGACCAAACCAAAAAAAAACAACAAACATACAAAAGCCACTTAAGACACGATCCCACAAATATCCAAGCCGTTGATAATAATGTAATTTGGCTTGGAGCTCCTTGCGAGACCTGAATGTTATGCGCGAAAATGTTTTTGTTTATGAGTGAGAGTGAAAGAGCGACATAAATTGATATGCAATCTGACAATGAATGCACTGTATCTGTAGGACTAACAAAAGAGAAAAAAAATCATGCAAAAAATACAAACACATACACATAGAACGAAATGAATTGTATATAGAGCGGAGGGAGAGGTGCGCTCAGGTTTTTCGTGATGATGTTTGCATCGAATGGTTTTTATGTGAAAAATTTGCGGTGCATAGAAATGCGTGTATATGTGAGTGAGCACGAGGTGAAACAGGAATCTTGATAATTAAATCGTGTATCAAAGTGGGAATTTTGCTATTCATTTGAAACCTAATTAACCTAATAAAGCGTTTTATTTATATATTTTAATTGATCTCGATGTTGTTCGCTCATTCGTTGGTTGCTCGATGTGTTTCTTTTCTTTCATTTCGTTCTCGAAATCAAGTCAAACAATCAATGGTTGATGATTTTCTTCGTTTCATACGAAAAACGAAAATATGAAAACATTTCTGTGCAGTAGTAATGTTCTATGGTAAGTCGATTTTGGGTCGATGCATGCTGATGAAATGAAACGCCTTTTATAAATTGAAGAGAAATGGAGATGGTCATACAGCAGCCCGCAGAAGCAATAGGAGTTCAAGTGAAATGGATATAGTCTCGTCGCACATTTCTCACGTTTCGCAATTATTTTTTTATCTGATGATAATTTTCGGTTTCTCAAATCGACTTTGGATAGCTGCTTCCATGCACATTCAAGTAGCGTGCAGATTGAATTTCGGTGTTTCAATGGACAAATGAGCAGTTCAACCGTTTTGGTTTCAACGAAAAAAATAAATATTGTAAACGCTTATGTTCACACAACCTGATGGAATTCGGACGGTTTCTCTCTCTCTCTCTCTCTCTCTCTCTCTCTCTCTCTCTCTCTCTATCGCTGTATTCTTGTTGGAATATCCATGAATTTCAGTGGTCGTACATGTATCAATGAATAAATAACGATATCTTCCAATGCCAAATGCATTCATTCCAAGATCAATCTTGTTTGTTGCATACATTTTGTGCGCATTTATGACTCATTCAGTCGCAATTGGTTTTTCAGGCGAAAATGTTGCATTCAAATTAAAGTGCAAATCAAAACGTCGCAATCGTCTTCGCATTTTTGAGCTCGTGTATGTGTAAAATTTAAGTTGAATACAATGTAAAACTGTCGCGCGAAATAGCCGATCGAAAAATGCGATCGACCACTAGTTATTTCACATGTGCATTATTCACTTCGTTCAATTGATCACACTCCATTGATTGTGAACACAAAGAGCAAAAAGAAACACACACACACACACACAGAGAGAGAGAGAGAGAGAGAGACACTCACATAAATGGCATGGCACGGCAGCGAAATTTATGCGCGCCTCGAAGTCTAGCGCTTCGCATATTATAACAACGACATTCAAGGCATTAACACGATTCTTTTTGCGATCGAATCTGATGGTTGCAATCAACAGCGACATTTTTTTCCTCTGTACACTCACACACAAATGCGTTCACTTTTCGGCATTTATAATCAACAGAATTACACACACCCATATGACAACGAATTTCCACAGAATTTGTATCACAAAAACAAAGGCCCATCTTCGAGATTCGTGTAACACGCGCACATTCCAGCTGATCTCTCTCGCTCGTTGCCATTTTCATTGAACAAATATTTTGCCATTGGCACTCACAAATCGGATAATTGGCATTGCTTTCTCCTTTAAACTTGGTGGGTTTTCTATCGGCTCTTTCACTCGCCTATCTTTTTCTTATTCTTTCAATTTCCTTTTCTCTTCGATTTCGTTACGCAGTTGCCTTTTTTCTATAATTTTTGTTGTTGTTGTTGTGGCAAAACAAATTTGTAAATATTGGCGAAAATGAAAAGAAAAGTTTTCATACAACATGTTTAAACACAATTCAAAACAAACAAAATACAAAACAAAAAAACAAAAAATCGATTTTGCTCATTTTCAAAAGGAGTGTTGCAATTGATGCCATTTTACCTCTTCAATCTATTATTCTAGTCTACTATTTTCTTGCGCCACTTTGTGTTTGTATGTGTTGGCTGAAGATTACCAAAATGTGCGAATAGAAATGAATTGAACAAAGGAAACAAACAAGAAAAGAGCATTACAAGATTGAAAAAGGTAAAATTGAAAACGATTTTCGTCTCTGAATTGAGCGCATTGAAAAGTGTGTGTTTGGTGTGTAACTTTGTGACTCGTCCTAATTCGTTTGTTGTCAAGGTTTTTCACATTGATTTGGAATGGATGTTCTTTATATGATCGGGTTCGTTTTCAAATGCAGCATTGCGAATCGTCTATGAATTAGAAGGAAATACGCATTTAGAAATGATTACCGAGAATTGAAATGCGAGATAAGACATAGGCCAAATCAAAATAGCAATTTTTGTTTCGCCTCATGCAATCACTCGACTTATTTCGTTTTGTCTGCTTGTCCTTGTCGGCTTCTTTCTCTCTTTCCTCTCTCTCTCTCTCTCTCTCTCTCTCTCTCACACACACAACCGAAAACCAAAAGCAAAAGAGAGATGGATGGATTTTGTTTTATTTAACCGGATTGTGCATTACTTATCCCATCACATTCTTCTCGTTTTCAATTCTTTAGACACAATTGTTTCTGTTTTGACTGTCTAATAGGTGTAATATTTTTGTTTAAGCAAATGTGATAAATATTTGACTCGTCTAAATTGGATTTAAGCATTGTTGTCGGTAACGGTCAGTTTTGTGCCGACACCAAGAACGATGATGACGGCCGACAAACCACAACAAGTATTTAAAATGTACGCACCGAGAATTGAGCTTAAGCCGAAAAAATAAAACACACGCTATGAATCCAATGTACGAGAAAAGGATGCAAACATTAAGAATATACATTTAAAATCTCGACGATTATGTCAGTATCCTGCGGTTTCGTGAAATGGATTACAGATTCATCATTTGATATGGCATTGCTTTCGGTCTCCCTAACACTATTTTACAAACCAAAACAAGACATTTATTTGTTGTTTTTTTTCTGTTTTCAAGTTGAATTAAAAGTATGTTTGTGGTTTTTCTTCGCAAATTGTTGTTTGCATTTTTTTTTTCATGTATATGCCAAGCAACACTCAATCGCATTACGGAAAACACAACTA